ACTAATCATCAAAGAAATGCAAATCAAAACCACAAGGACCTATCACCTCATCTCTGTCAGGATGGTATTATCAAAAAAACAAAAGACCACAAGCGTTGGTGAGGATGTAGAGACATTGGAACCTTCGTGTGCTGTTGGTGGGAAGACAAAACGGAGCAGCCACTGTGGAAAACATTAAAAATAAAACTATCATATGATTTAGAAATCTCACTTCTGGGTATTTATACGAAATAATTGCAGTCAGGATCGCAAAGAGATATTAGCACTCCCATGTTCCCTGCAGCATTATTCACAATAGCTGAGATGTGGGAACAACCTACATGTTCGTGGACAGATGAATGGTTCCAGCAGATGTGGTACATTCCCACAATGGTATACTATTTAGCCTTAAGAAAGAAGGAAATTCTGTAATAGGCGACAACATGGATAAACCTGGAGGCCGTTGTGCTGAGTGAAATGAACTGGTCACAGAAAGATAAAGACTCCATGATTCTTATATGAGGCATCTACAGTAGACAAGTTCGTAGACACAGAGAGGAATGGTGGCTCCCAGGGGCTGGGGTGGGAGAAACGGGGAGTTATTAATCAATAGGCATAAGTTTTCAGTTAAGCAAGATGAATAAGCTCTAGAGAGCTTCTGTACAACATTGCATGGATGGTCAACAGCGCTCTGCTCTGCACTTAGAGACTTGTTGATGGTAGATCTCATGTTACGTGTTCGTACCACAATTAAAAAAAAAAAAAAAAGAAATCCTAAGGTGATCTGGGTCAACTCTTGATTCTAAACTGGTCGGTCTGGGGTGAGCCCCAGGCAGAGAGGGCGAGCACGGGCCACTCCATACATTTCTGGCTGTCCTCTGTTCTTACAGTCATTGCTCCTATGTAATGAGCACCCTGAGTCCCAAACACTGAATACTCCTGGTATTGCTATTCCCATTTGAGAACTGAGGAAACGAAGAGGTTAAGTCACTTTTTCTGGGTCACCCAGCTGGTAGTCACTAGTGCCTGCATTCATTCCCAGATCCACGTGACTCCAAAGCCCATGCTCTAACTGCTATGCAAGCAGGGGCCTCTGTGGGACACAGACATGGGCGTCATGTGTCCTTCCACGTCACTGCTTTGTCCCTCAGGCTGTAGGGTCAACAGCGTCACCTTTGTCCCAAGCTTGTCCACACTTGAACACACAGGAAGTGGGCCTTTTGTGGCTCGGCACACTAAGGAAGAACTTTCTGCCAGTCAGAGGAGTGTGACGGTGAGGTAGGCTGCCTGGGGAGGCCGTGGGCACCTGCCATTGTCATCGCTGGGCAACCACCTGCAGGATCTGTTGGGAGCAGAAGTCATCCTTCAACTTATTGTGTGTGCAAGTGTGTGTGGAGGTGGCCAAGGAGGGTTGGGCTTAGATACTCCTAATGTGTCCCCAGCCCTGAAACTGAGGGGCTCAGGAGACCAGTCAAAGCTCAGTAGGTGAAGATGGTTCTAGAAGATGAGCTCACAGAACTAGGGAGTTCCAGAAGGCCCTATGTCAGTCTGGAGCCTGCCCTCCCCCATCATTCTCTGAAAGCTGGGTGCCTGGGGCCCTAGCAGTATCATGGGGGTGTCTTGAGCTGAAGCCAGGTGTCGGGTCCCTGTTGCCGCTGCCACTGTCACCGCCGTGTTAGCTCTGGTGTGGACGACACCTGATCAGTGAGCCCCCTTGCCCTCTTCCTGCAGCTGTTGACCAGGGCCCTGGCCCAGAGAGGGGCATGGAAAAAGAAAGGGGGTGGTCAGAAATGGGGGGGAGTCCTGGGCTGGGAGAGCACTGAGTTGAGAGAGAGAGAGAGAGAGGGGAGACCCTGCTGGCGGGTGTCTGGTCTCTGAATCACCAGCCCTCACTCCTTACCCCTCTCAACCTGCCATGACTCGCTCAGGATGAAATTAGTTTTAAGTCGCTTTGGTACAAAAAGTCAAAAACAGTCTCTGCAAAGCAGCGAACTTGGTGTCCTCGTCTGTAAATGGGAGATATTACTCCTATGAACCTTGAGTTGTTGAGAGGATTAGAGGAGCTCACATTAGAAAACATCCCGCAGAGGCCCAGCGCAGTGTCTGCCGGGTGTGAAGAGCTCAGTGAGGTTCCCCCCATTGCCTCCCCGCCCCCCACTTTGATGGGGCGGGTTCGTGCTCTTGGGGTCAGGACCTCAGGATGCTTCAGTGTAAGCAGCACCCACTGAACAGTCACTCCATACCCACAATTCGGCTTGGCTTTTAGGATGTGAAGATACACAAGACGGCCAGTGTTCCTTGGAAGTTCTCTTATGGAGGGAATGATTACTGTACATCACAGTCCTGTGGGACAGAGGGATGGCAGAAGCACAGGGTGCTTGGGGCGTGTTGGGGAGCTGGCAAACTCATCTCTGTGTGACTCTGGAAGTATGAGTAAGAGTTAGCCATGTAGAGGAAGGAGAGGGCTAGTGCGCCATCATGAGTGAACAATATGGCATTACTGGAACTCAAAGTGTGAGTGACGGGGAGGTCCACACGGCTGGGTCGTGAGGAGCGATGCATGCCTAGGAGCAGCGATGCACCCACCCCAGGGTGGCAGGTGGCCAGGCTTTTTGTTCAAAAACTCATGGTGGTAAATGTGTCTAGAATAGTTTGGAAAACGAGTCAGGACTGGATGCAAGGAGCCCATCAGTATGCTGGGATGGTGGTCGGAACTGAGGGAAAGACGGTGCTCTCGGAGGGAGGGTAGAATCAATCACGCTTCGGGATCGACTGGCTGTGGGTGGGTGAAGCGTGTAGAGACAGAAGGAGTGAAGAATGCCATCTGTATTTCTAGTTTGGATAAATGTGTTTAAACCAAAAAAGTTACGAGTTTATTTTATTTTTTAAGATTTTATTTATTTACTTGAGAGAGAGAGCGAGGGAGATCAGAGGGAGAAGCAGACTTCCCGCTGAGCGGAGAGCCTGATGCGGGGCTCAATCCCAGGACCCTGGGATCGTGACCTGAGCTGAAGGCAGACGCTTAACTGACTGAGCCACCCAGGTGCCCCAGTTATGAGTTTAAAACCAAGAATATTTTAAACCGAGAAAGGAAAGGCACAAGGAAGCCGATTTTAGTGGGAACATTAGTTCTGTTTTGGACCTGCTTAGTCTGAGGTGACACGGGATATCTGAGTGGAGAAGTCCAGGAAGCAGTGGCAGATGAGGTCTGCTGCTCTGGGGAAGACGAAATTCAACATCATCGGCCTGCAGGTGGCAGTTAACCGTGGGGCCACCCAGAGGGTATCCTGAAGAGAGAGAGGAGGGCTCAGGGTAGAGATGCCTGGAAAGCATACCAGCATTTGAGATGTAGGCAATCAGAAGAAAGAGCCCGAGAAGGAGCAGGGAACCCAGGAGAGGGGGCATCATGGAAGCCAAGAGTGGCAAGAGATTCAACAGGTGGATTGGGCAATGGCGTGAAAGGCTGCTGAGCGCCCCTGTGGGTCAGGTACTGGCAAGACCCACTGGATGGGGCAGAACAGCGTCAGGCGTGTGGTGATGGTGGTGAAGCTAAATTTCACTGGGTTGAAAACAAATGGGGAGGTGAGAAAACAGTATTTTTTCCTGTAGAAGTTTCCATGAGAAGAGAGGGAGAGAGACCAGTCAGTATAGATGATGACAAGGCCTGTATGCATCCATGCATCCGGGGAATGATAAGTGGTAGGAGGAGGCGCTGAGGACCCTGGGAGAGGAGCAATGGCCCATGGAGTGAGGTCGAGAGACGGGAAAGGGTGAGCTTGCAGGCATGACGGGCCTTGACAAGGGTCGCAGCCCCGCATCCTCACACTACAGGGGTGAAGATGAGCAGGACGAGGCTCCTGATGCCCTCGTGAGGCAGGAGGTGAGGTCTCCTGGGAGCTCGGGGGTGGGACCGGGCAGCGGGCAGTAATGAGCATCTCGAATACTCTTTGAGGCCAATGGGAGAGAGAAAGTTGGCCAAAGACAAGCCTTCAGGCAGGAGTGAGAAGTATTTCATCATAGAAATAACAGTGAACCTATTTTTAGTACAAAGAGCTAAGTTCTCTCTGGGCCTTTCTCCTCTCATTCATTCTTTCAAACATCTTCTGAGGCAGGTGTTATTCATTTCCTCATTGGAGAGCTGAAGACTGATGCTCAGGAGGTGTTCAAAGTCAGAGATGTTGTGCAGGGCGGAGGTGGGCTTCAAACTCAAGGCTTACTGCAAAGCCACACCCTTAACCCACCTTGTCATCCTCCATGGCTTGAAGGTCCAGTGGGGTTGGAGGCCATGTGTTTTTTGGGACACCATTCGTGAGGTCGTGTGGCTGTTTTGTTTTTTGACTCTATGAACGTGGACAGTAAGTGTGGTGGGATAGGGTCACGGGAGATGTGGGAAGATGTGTCAGAGAGATGAGAATGGAAGGTTGCAGAAGGGGGTGGTGGCAAGATGCACGGATGACCAGGCCATGGGAGTGGGTGGCTAAGACAGAGTGGAGGTGAAGGTCATAACCAGGTGCAAACGTCCTTCAGGATACCGAGGGCTGGTCCGTGGAGCCAGTGCAAGAGGCAAACCCAAGGAGAGCGCTCCCTTGACAATGGCGGGGTAGGGACTGGCTTACACTCTGATGCCATTGCTGGGCCCTTGCCCTCCGGGAACATCTGCTCATGGCCATACCTCGTGGGGCTTTGGAGTCACGTAAACATTGGTCTTATTCCAAACTTTGCTCTTTCCTAGTTGTACAACATAGGGCTTTAGGATTCGATGATACCTGGCAAGTAGTATGGAGCTCCAAACACGTTCGTTTTCTCCCCCAGTTCCCCTCCTCCTCTCTCAGCTGCTGGGGCAGGTGTAAAGCAGGACTGAGGGGAAGCTGGCCTCAGGGAACCCTCTCCTGAATCTCAGAGCTCAGGGGCGTGGCTGATGGCCTCCTCATGGCTGCAAGGGAGCTGGTTTGCTGTGTTGGCGCCTTCTCCCCTTTTCCCAGGTACACTCATACCCCGTTTTTCTTTTTCTTCCAAGGGTAACCTTCTGTGAGTGGTGGACCAGGGCTGTTGAACTGCCTGCCATCTCAAACCCAGCTGTGAGCCAGCGTGGCGGGGGCTGTGCCTCCGACGCCTGCATGGAAGCCAGGAGCTGGGCTCCCAGAAGGCAACTGTGCCCGCAGGGGAGCATGTTGCTGGCTTTTGCCTCTCTGCTTGGCTGCCTGCTCACCTCCAGCCAGGCCAAGGTCTACAGTCGCTGTGAGCTGGCCCGAGTGCTCCAGGATTTCGGCATGGAGGGATACCGGGGATCCACCCTGGCTGACTGTAAGAACCGCACCCCCAGACACTGCCACCCCCCACTCCTCTCCTCCCTTCCTGCCCTTCTCCCTCCCTGCTCCCCTCCCTGCTCTCACTCAGGGGAGGTGGTCTTGGAAGCTTTCTGAGCCTCAGCCCTCCCTTGTACATCAAGGGCTTTATAACCAGGCAGATGGGCAAGATTTAGCACAAGTTAAATACCTAATAGGCAGGCCACAGGCAGCCCAATCAGCATGTCCCTACCCTCCCTGCCCCTACTGCTGAAGTCAACAGCCAAAGAAACAGAATAGCTTACTTCCCTAATCCTAATGGCAGCCAAGAGGATCGGACATTCCCACTGAGGTTTAGGGTAAATTGAGTAAACCAGTAAGAGCAGACTCTTCAAGCTGCTGGTAGTTTCGGGAAGCTGTGAGGTCCAGCCTCATCTGGACTCATTTCTCTCTTGTTCTAGCCCCCTTACCAGCTCTCACCTGTGTCTTCCTTGTTTTGCCTCTAAAGATCTAGCTTTTGTCCGTTTGTCCCACAAAGATTTCTTGGGCCCCGCTGCGCGCTGAGCGATGAGACAGCGGGAAGAAAGGAGGCCTGAGGGACAGTCTTGACTCTTGCTATTTGGTAGCTGTGGTGACCCCCAGCGAGTCCCTTGCCCCTCTGAGCCTTGCTGGAGTCACTGGGGAAGTAGGTGGGAGGACAGCCCCCATGACCACCTTGGGGCAAGAGCTGAGCTCAGAGGTGCTCGCGTGTGGTGCCTGCACGTGAGTGTCCTGGTCTGTGCTGGCTTCGGTCGCCTGACCCTCGGGTCTGTGTCTCCACCCTACGCAGGGGTCTGTCTTGCTTACTTCACAAGTGGCTTCAACACAGCCGCTGTGGACCATGAAGCCGACGGGAGCACCAACAACGGCATCTTCCAGATCAACAGCCGGAAGTGGTGCAAAAACCTCAACCTAGAGGTCCCCAACCTGTGCCAGGAGTATTGCTCCGGTAGGCTGGGCTTGAGCCGGGGGCGGTGTGGGCCGGGCCTCTGCACCCATCTTGGCTTGTTTCCCGCTGCTTTTTGCACCCCTCACCTGGATCTCTGAGTGGGGATGGGATGGGGCAAGAGATGAGGGTGGGATGGGGCAAGAGATGAGGGTAGGTCCACCACGAATCTGATGGGAGACTGTTCTGAGAGCTGTAGGAGGGTGGGGAGGGGAGTGGTAGAGTGATATCTGTGTTTCCAGAGGGATCAAGAGACAGGGTTGGGTTTAGGATGGAGAAGGGCATGTGTGTGTGTGTGTGTGTGTGTGTGTGTGTGTGTGTGTGTGTGAGAGAGAGAGAGACAGACAGACAGACAGACAGACAGACTCTGGATGTCTAGCTCTGTCCGCTGTTCCCTCATCATATTTCTTTGCCTCCCACCCCAGACTTGTTGAATCCTAACCTTAAGGATACTGTTATCTGTGCCATGAAGATCGTGCAACAGCCCCAGGGTCTGGCCAGCTGGTAGGTAACCTGGGCTAGAGGACCCCCACCCCGCCGCTCCCCCAGGCTGATGTGGCCAGGACTGGTGGACAGCAGGAGGGAACTAATCTTTCCTGAGTGCTCATGTTGTCCCGGCCACCATTCCATGGCCTCACAGTCTGATCTGCAGCCAACTTTCGGCCATAGGGGTTACTGTCCCTGAAGTATTTACAGACAACACACTGAGTCTCTGGGAGGGTAAGCAATTCACGGGAGCTCTTGGAGCCAAGCCTGGCTCTTCCACCATATGCCTCTGTTAGGATGCCTGCCTACAAGTCCACAAGACCTGGGTCTGGTCAACCTTGTTTGTTTGTTTAACGGTGGCATCTTCATCGAAACTAACTTTTGTAGAAAAGCCCAAGATGTACAACAGATCAAAGAAGCGATTCCGGGCTTGAAGCATGGTGGGGGTGTATGTGGGGGGCGGTGCTCTGGAGTCACACCCTGTCAGCCTTCTCTTTTCCTGCCTCTTTCCCACAAGATGGCCTTTGGAGCGGCCATGCTTATAGGCGAGGGGGTTAGATGAGCATCCCATTGGGCACTGGACTAGATCTTTAGTTCCCAGATGGACCTCTGAGGCAGTGACCCTGCAGACTCCTCCAAAGGGGGTCTCACTGCTGAGACTCCAACCTCCCTTTCCTCTCATTTCTGAATGAGAGACCAGCAGGGGCAGGATGTGGGGAGGGTGAGATACTCCAGGTGGTTCCTGGAGCTACAGACAGACGTGACCGTCATAAGACAGGTAAAGGAATTTGGGAGGGAGTGAATATTGGCCCAGGAGCAGAGAGAAGGGGGAGGGGAGACGAGAGGCAGGGGCATGGTAGGGAAGCCTTTGTAGGAGTCCAGGTGAGAGATCCAGGGTCTGCGCTAGGACAGTTGCTCAGCTGATGGACAGGAGGGGGGTTGGCTAGGAGGGTCTGTACAGGAGGCATGGGGACAGGTAATGTGCAGCAGCAAGGGTGAGGAGGAGGCAGAAATGACTGTGAATCTAGAGAAGGTCTGAGATGCGCCTTGACCATGACCACAGCTTTGGAGATGTGTTGGTCTGAGAACAGTTGATGCCCTAGGAACTGAGTCTGGAGTGAGGCAGGCTCAGCAGGACATAATGCACAGCTATAAGATCAGAGAGGGTGAGTGTAGGCTTGGCAGGAGTCCAAGGGCTTGAGGTCTTGGGGGCACCACCCGGGGATGGAGGAAACAGGTCCTTTTGGGTTATATCAAAGAAGAGTTCTCTTTTGTACACTGGGAGTAAATTTGTGGCAGGTATACCCCCTGAGAGGTGGCTGAGGCTAATAACAGGCAGTGGTCCCAGAAAGTAGAAAGGGTACGGTTTATTTCCTCCACCTGCACACTTTGGGAACTCACCCATGCCGGGCTCTGTGCTGGGTGCTGGGCTGCAGGGAAGCTGAGATCTGAGTCTCTGCCTTCAAGGCTCTCACAGTCTAATGGTAGAGGCAAACAAGCCAGCTGACCATACCTCATTGATGGATCTCTAGAGGTCCTCAAGGGGCACTCTTGGTCATTGGGCTCTTTGACATTGACATCATGGAATCACCAAAGCTTCGAACCCCTGAGAACTTGGGACCCCAGGACCCCGGGATCTTGCTTATCTTCAAGATGCTCATGTGATGATGGAGCAATGTAATGGTCCTGAAAAAGCCTATAAACTATAGTTACCAACAATTGAAAGACCTGGATTGGTGGTTAAGGAGAAGTGGGTGGGGCTGCAGTTCTGTCATTTACTAGCTGTGGATCTTGGGTGAGGAATTTTGCATCTGAGTCTCAGTGTTTCATTTGGAATATAGGGAACACTCTATCTGCCTAATCTACATTATAGGGCTGCCGGGGGTGGAGTGGGGTGCAGACAAATGAGTGATGGATGGGACAGTGCTATGTAGACTGTAAAGGGCTGTACGCTTGTAAGGCAGCATGACTGTCTGCTGAGGGAGCATGGTGTGGGAAAAGAGCATTGGACTGGGGTTCTGGACCTTTGCCACTGACTTCTGGGTGAACTTGAACAAATTACCCTGTATCTCTATTAGTGAAATTAGGAGGCTAGGTAAATGACATTTTAAGGGCCATGCTCTTCCGTTTTTGCTTCTTCTAGGGGGTTCTTTGCTAATGAATGGGGTTTACTAGTCCCTCTTTCCCTTGCTAGCCCCTTTCCTTACCGTGGTTTAGAGCCCATGCCTCCTTCCTGTTCTTCTCTGAGCAGGGACTGAAGGCGGCAGCTGACCTGGTCTCTCCTCTTCCCCATCCTCCATCCTCAGGGAGGCCTGGAGGCGTCACTGCCAGGGCAAGGACCTCAGCGACTGGGTGGATGGCTGTGACTTGTAGGATCCTCTGTGGATGGACCAGGTCACGCACAGCAGGCTGGGAGATGTGGTTTGGTTTCTGATCCAGGCTTGGGAAGACAAGCCAACCAATAAAGTATAGTCTAACGTAAGTGTGGTTCTCAGCTATCGCTGTGTTTCCAGGTGGCACATCGGAGTTTCTTCACCTGTCCACCTGGGCTGGGCTCCATAAAGCTTACCCCAGAAGGCTTGCCTCCATTCCTGGAGACACGGGGTGGGGGTGGGGGTCAGTGCTTCCCTTGCCCACACCTGGTAGAGTTTCCTAGACCCTTTACCTGGATCTAGGTTTGCCGGGTTTAGCAAAACAAAGAATGATAACCAAAACAGGATGCTTAAGTTAAATTTGAAATTTGGATATGCAACAAATAAATTTTACTCTACATATGTCCCGAATATTGCATGGGACACACTTATATTAAAAAATGATGTGTTGTTTGGAGAGTGTGAGTGGCTTAGTTGGTTAAGTGTCTGACTTTTTTTTTTTAAGATTTATTTATTTATTTAGGGGGGTGGGGAGGGACAGAGGGGGAGGGAGACAGAGAATCTCAAGCAGACTCTGTGCTGAGTAGAGGCTTGATCTCACAACCCCACGGTCATGACCTGAGCTGAAATCAAGAGTCACAGATAAATTTAATTGAGCAAAGATTTTCTTGGGCACCCTCCCTGCCATCAGAGCCTGCCTCCCAAGAATGAACTGAGCTTACTGTATATCCTGCCCCTTCCTGCCCTCCCCTGAGTTCAGCTCTCCATCCCAGGTCTGCCTTATCCCTGAACAGTTATGTGCTACAAAATTATTTCTCAGAAATGAAATTAAATTCTTAGTCCTTTCTTCTAACTGATCTCATCTAGGCATGAGAAAGAAAGGATCGAGCACATTGACACCAATGTAAGAGAATTCTTATCAACTTAATCTCTAGTTGGGAGAATTTGGGGGCAGCATAAGACAGGAATGAAAAAAGTGCTGGCGATGTGGGGGGAAATATTCTGAGCAATGGAGGCAGGCTAGCATAACCCTGAGATCATAACCTGAGCTGAAATCAAGAGTTGGATGCTCAATCGACAGAGCCACCTAGGAGCTTCAAGTGTCAGACTCTTGATTTCAGCTCAGGGTTATGAGATCGAGCCCCACATTGGGCTCTGCGCTGAGAGTGGAGCCTGCTTGGGATTCTCTCTCTCCCTGTCCCTCTGTCAACCCCCTCCCCCCACTGCCACTGCTTGTGTGTGCTCTCTCTCTCAAAAAGCAAAAACAAAAACAACGATGTGTTGTGTACCTGAAACTCAAATTTAGTTAGGCATCCTATATATATATTTTTAGGCGTTCTATATTTTATCTGGCAACCTTGTCTGGGTCTGCTGTGGTATACTCCAGGCTTGTGTGTGGGGGGGTCCTTGGGACATTTGTTTTCTGTGGTTCTGGTCACAGAGGGTGGCCACAGTGGAGAATGCTAACACACTGGCAGAAGCCAAGGGGTGGAGCACCCGGAGTGGAGACACACCTTGGGCTTTGGCTAGACGCTCCCCCTGCTCTCCAGTGCCCCCTAGCGGAAGAAAATTCAAGTGCTGGTGGCCATCTCAGCCCGGTAAGGAAGTTAGTTACCCCTGGTACTGCTGACCATTGCTGGGAAGCTGGAGGATTGGGTGGAGGGTGTGGATGGCTTCCAGGCAGCACACGGCACGTCTCTGCCTTCCTCAATATGTGGGAAGCTCAGAAGGAGGCAGCACTGTCTCCCATTAACCTAGAGCTCAGTGTCTCGGGTCCCTTGGGAGGGACTGTGTGTGAAGGAGGAAGGTGGGCAAGTCTCAGGATCACTGTGGATATGGTAGCAAGAGAAGCAACCGCTGTGATGACTGAGAGGCTGAACCCTGAGTTGAGATTGTAGATTCTTCTGGAAAGGACTCAGAGAACCCTGCAGTTCTTTGAGAGATGGCTGGTGCTTCCCCAGGAGGAGAGATGACTGTGATGTCGACTGCCCCTCTCCACCGACCTGCCATCTCCAAATCCACTGGTCAGCAAACAGCAGAGGGGTGGCGAAGTGTCCGCAACTGGTAAGACTGCCAGTTTCCTTCCACTGCTGGTCTGGTGTTGGGCCACTCGCATCGCCAGAGCGTAGCTGGCCCTGCCTTGTGTCCCACCCTGGCTTTTGCTTCTGCCTCCCTGTGGAGCTCTTGCCTTGTCAAGGTGATGCTAAAACGTGAGGGCTGCTCATACACGTGGATGGTGGTGAAGGAGCAGCTCCTTGCTGGGAGTTGGGCTTCTGGGGGATCAACGACAAATGGATCCATTCTCATTAAGTCATAGGGAGATACTGCTCTCTTTTTAATATGGAGGCAACACTGTGTACCTACCATGTGCCATGCATCATCTAATCTAGACCTTGGAACTATTACTATCATGGAGCTCCCCTTGTTATCCCATTCTATAGATAAGGAAATGGAGGCTCAGAAGAGATAAATTTGCACCCAGGAGATTCCATGTGCTCTTAGGTCACTGTATTTTGCTGAGAGGTGGTTGTCTTGGGCCACCTGCAGTCTGTGCTCTCCCTCACCTGGCCCGAGACCTCTGGGCCATTATCTCTGGGTGATGCATACCCTCTATTTCAACTTCACTTTAGGTTTCTGTTGCCTGCAACCAGCCAATTGCTCCACTGGGTCCCATTCACTCAGGAGTAGGTGGTCCTTGGAATCAAAGCAAGAGTTGTTAAAAGGACATGGAGGCTGGCATGAAAATAGGGCTGGGCAGGGGCAGGCCTGGACAAGGGATCCTGGAGGCCTGGGCTGGGGGGTGGATGAGGAAAAGGTAGAGATGGAAGAGGAGAATCTAGGGGAGAGCCCTCACCTGTGCATGAGGGTTAAATGGTCTATAGCTCTACCTGGAAGTCCCAGTTTCTAAGTGATATTCTCAGACTGAGTAGAGTAACCAGGCTACCTCCTCATGTCTCCTTGCATCCATGTCACACTTGCCCCACATTCTATTGCTCACTCTGTCTTGCCTCTTAAAAGCTTTCTAATATCTCTGGAAACTGTCCCTCCTGTCCATCCCAGATACCACTGCTTTAACTCAAGCCCCTGTCACTTCTTTCCTGGGACAATGACACCGACCTCGTGAGAGTATCCCTTGCCATCCCACCTCCTCCCTTCCGTGAGCTTTCCACCTTCTTACTCCCTTGCATCCTGGCCATATGATGGCTTTTCTCACCTTTATTATAGTCCAAGTTCCTTGGCTTGGTACGCAAGATCTTTCACAAGCCAGGCTCAGCTGACATCTACAGATTCATTTCTCAACTGTTCAGAAGCTTTTACACTGGTGGGTTTCTATCCCTGGCTGCTTCATACTTGTCACCATCCCCTGCCATTCTTCCCCATGCACGCACTCCAAGCAATCAACACGCTTGTTTTCACCACACGGCTTTCACGCCTGCCCTCGGGTCTTCCTGGAATGCCATTTCCTTAGATCATTGAGTGGCTATTCGTTTCCAGCCAGCTCTTATCTCAATTTCACATCCTCAGATGAACTTCTCTGACTGCCATAGCTGAAGGAAGCTCCTCTCCCCTCTTGTCATGATCTTACTACTAGTGAATTACTGTCAGATTATTTCATGCACATGTGAATTTACATACATCCCATTTTCCCTCTCCTTATGGATGGTAAGCACCATGAGGGCAGGAAATGGGTCTGTTCCTTGTATTTCCAGCACTCGGAATAGTGGTTGGCACATAGTGGGTTCTCAGTGAAAGAATGAACCTATTGAATGCATGACTGATGCAGGAAAGAATGAATGGTGGGCAGTCAGCTAATGTTTGCAGAATCGGTGAATGAGCCCGGATACCTTCTTTCAACAGAGCAGCGGTTCATGCAATGGTATTAAGTACCAGCTAAGTGTCAGGCCCTAGGCATCCCTCCAGAGGGACCCATTGCCCCTCCTGAGCCCTCTTGGGATGGCTTTCTCCCTTTCAGGGGGACCAACCTGGCTGCTTTTCATCCAAGTCCCACTCGCTTCCCCCTTGGCCATTCAGCAAGGTTTGGAAGGAATTGGCACAATATTTTGTTATGTTTCATTTTTTCCCCTCTTATCCTGGCTGCCTGACCTGGGGAAAGTCACTCCGCCTCCCTGAGCCTCAGTGGTCCTCAGGGACAAGGGGAACTGATAAAGACCACCTCACAATATTGCGTTGATCACATAATACAGAGCATCGAGGCACCAACTACAGGGCCTGGCACAGCCTGGGGGCTTAAGAAATGCTGGTTTCCCTAAGCTCGGGGGGCCCCCCTGGGGAGGAATGGTGGTCCTGCCTGTCCTGGTGACTGGGGTGTACTTGGGATGCCTGTGCCATGTCCTCAACACAGTTTGCTAAGAAGGAGGAAGAGGAGAGGGGAGACTATGGGAAGAAGCAGCAGAAGGAGGAGGGGGATGGTTTGGACAAAGTGGCAGAGATTTCTACAGAAAGCAGGGAGAGTGAAGTGAATTATTGTCACTCTTTTTAGTCCAAGCCACCTCATTCTTGGCTAGTTTGACTCCAGGAGACTAATGGGAAATGGGCTTGTCTAACTCTTTTGTTGCTGAGTGGGGTGAATGCTCCAGGGGATGATTAGCTACCCAGGTGCTGTCATTTCTCTACCTGTAGGCCCAGGTGAGGCAGGCAGGGACTCCTGGCAGTGGAGGGACGCTCTGCTGAGCACTCTTCTTGGGCAGGTCCCTGTGCTCTGCCTGTAAGACTCATCCTTTCAGCTGGATATGGCTTTTTTTTTTTCTTTACTCCAGGCCACTGGCCTGAAGCTTCTAGAGTGGGAGGCTGGCCTGGTCAGATGGGGTTCAGCATTTAGTGGACACCTCCTTTGGGGTAGCAGATGTGCCCCCACTTCCTGCCTGTGGCCAACATCACAAACTGAGCATAAGCCTCTATTCTATTACTTGCCAGGGATCCTTCCTGATGCTTCAGTGGCAGCCACTGTCCATGGAGTTGGCCGGTAGGATGGCGCTTCCTCATCTCCATCCTACCATGTGTGAGGCACCACACTGGCATTTTCCATAGTTAATCTCACTACCCCCACGGCACGCTTAGGAGGTAGGTCACCCCCATTTTTAGGACGAAACT